CTAAGGGTCAGAAAATAAGAATATTAGAAAGGAATGTACAGACTGTTATAATATTCACAAGCACAAGCAAAATTACCTATTTGGGATTAGAAATTTGCATCCACCTTTTGGCAAACCATTTTGCTATAATTAAATTAATTTGAAAATCAATTTTTAGAGTAGTGATTAAAGGGATGGTAAGTGATCAATAATTAGTGCAATTCTCACCCACAAATGAGGCTATTATCTTCAAAGTAAGTGAAAACCTTTTCAAGATGAATGCCTCAAACCTGTTGAGTATTTTATTTGAATATGAAAGATCTTTTGCTTCCCTGCTCCCTTCCCCTGAAATTGCTCATTTATATCAATAAAGAATGTAATGCATGCTGGATTGATCTACTAGCCATTTTCAAGTTAAAGCTAGGTTTTATGGACTTCTAAGATTTTTCTGTTCATTGAGATTACAAATGTTTTGCTACTTTTGGACGAAAGAAGGAAATGCAATGTTCTTGTCAATGAATAAATCACTGATTGATTCATCTGAGAATATAGCTGTCTGTTAAGAAGTGTGGACTACAACAGCCCTGGCTGGTGTGTCTCACCAATCACTGAAGGGTCTCCAGCTCCCTAATGGTCAAGGGCACATACCTGGGTTGCAGGTTCCATCCCCACCCTGGTCAGGCGCATGCGGGAGGCAACCAATCGATGCGTCTCTCTCACATCAGTGTTTCTCTCTCTTTCCCTATTCCTCCCTCCCTTCCACTTTCTCTAAAAATCAATGGAAAAAATATCCTTGGGTAAGGATTAACAACACAACAATGTATCAGAACAGATCCAAAGAAAGAATGGTTGTCACATGTGCTGACAGTAATCGTTCTAGCTTTTGAGTTTGGGTGGCCTACTAAGTGCAAAGCAATGATCAAGATGCGTTTCTGGACTCATTAACTCTCACCATAGTGACTCCATAGTAAGTGTTACTATCACCACTCTGAGGTAAAAATGGCAGGAACTTTTCTGACTACACTCCAAGAAGAGATTTTACACATGCAATTGTTCATCACAGTCCAATATCCAACATTGTTTCTAATAGGTTAAGTGTTCACAGCACCAAGAAGGTGACATTTGATGCCTTTCAAACCCACAGGTTAACTATGCCGGCAGTTAACACTTTGCTCTCTATGAGCAAAGACTGCCATCTTGTGGAAGTTGCACATATAACAAAAACAATCATTCTATGGAACTAAACATTTCCATTGCACTCATTAAGAATTTTGCAACTAGATTCTTGCATTGTTGCACACACACACACACATGCCGATGTTGCTTATAATTAATAGAAAGGCAAAACTTTCCTTTAGGTGTGATTTTAAGTCTCATTTAAAGGTGGCAGTGTTTTGGAACATTTTGGAAAGATAAAATATCTCCTCCTTTATTACAAGGACTCATCCTATTAGTCTTTAACCAATTAACTGCCACGATATTTTGGATTTAATTAAAAAAGGCCCACCGCTTGCACCTATAGATGCTTATGGCGTGCAAATGGTTAAGGCGGTGCATTAGGTTGTGTTGAACTTTCTTTACCTAAACTTTAAATGATTTTTGTTAAATAACAAAAAAGAAGGTGTAGTGCAACCTTTTGATGGAATTTCCGGAGCACTAGATGTTTTTGCTAGAATGTATGGCAGAACTCTGGGCTTAGAGAACACTTTCATTCCCCTCCTATACTTCTATTCCATGCTGGCCAGCATCCTGGAATCTGTTGTGGGCTAGTCAGGGCTTGACTGAGGGATCCTATGGCCCACGTAGTCGGTGTACCCAAAGATGGAATCTCCCTGCAATGCCTTATCCTCCTGTGCTTCAGTGATGAGACATGTAAAGGTGTGATGATACTCAAAGGCATGTAGAGATGACTCTTTCCTATTTCCCCTCATGCATTCCTGCCACCCAGCTCACTAAGTCCACAATTTCTATGACCAAAAATTACTTAGATAAAGACCTTGTGCTATTAGAATCAAAGTGGGTGACATAGAGTATGTATTCTTCCAATGACTTTTTCAAACCAACATGGTTCCAGGTGTAGAAATAATAAAGACCTATTGTCAGTGACACCAGACACTGCTGAGGAGATGGAGTGGTCAATCATGGGTTCCTGAATGAATGTGAATGAATGAAAGAATAAATTAACATGAATGGAGGGCATTAAAAAGAAATGATGTCACAGTGTTGCCTGGGCCATTCCAGCTGAATGTGCAGTTGTTGTTTAACATAAATTTTGTACCCAAGGAAGTGCCTGGCATGAAATCACTCTTTAAATATTTATTGAGTAGATGGGTGAATAGGAGGGAATGGAATAAATTAGAAAACAGCATCAGTGATAAGAAAAAGGTAGAATCTCAGGGCAGAGCCCTTTTACAAAAGACTGTTGAGTATGTTTAATTAACAAATGTGTGCTTGTTCTGTGTTAGGCCGTATGGAAGATGGTGAGCACACTGGCATCAACCAAGCAACCACAAATGATCACAAATAATGATAAGTGCCTGAAGGAAAACTCTCCCACGTCTACAGGCACTAATACAGTGTGGTGGGTGTGGGAGGGCAGGGGAACTTGGGAGCTCATTTTGAGCCCTGATATGTTTTCAGTAAGCAAATGCTGCTATAGTTTCCTTCTATTCCTACATGTTCCTAGAAATTCATATTTAAGAAGAGGGGTTTTTTTTTAGATATGAACAAATTTTTCCTTCAAGATATTCAATGGTATCTAGTCTACCTAGTGTCTTTAGGCAGGCAAATACCTAAAGGGTTTGCTAATGTCATTTGTATAGCACTCATGGACAAGTCAAGCAAGCAGTTTGATGTTGTGATTGCACATGTGTGTGTGATACCTAACACGGTGTCACAAATTCCCACAAATAGTTGTTCCTTTGAATCAAGGCACTATTTCCCAGTGTATCCCTCCAATCTCCAGCTCTATGGATTATGTTATTGAGGAGAAAAATGAGAAAGGGGTAATGAAAGTCAGACAAGTTTAGGAAATGCTGTATTAAACAACATCATGCAAGTTTTCTTATCTGCAGATCTTCGTATGGCCTTTCATAGGCTGACTTCTCTGTAAATTTCCAAAGGGTGTGTTTTTTTTAGTTATCGACCATGGAACCCTTTTCTTGCAGAAGCCCTCTAGGTACTAGTGTACCATGGAACACACTTTGAGAAATTCTGTTTTCTAAATATAAATGGCTTTGCCTGGGATAGAGGCTGGAATAAAGGTGATCCATTAATATTATGAATCCATTAATATTCCTAATCATTTTAGTAAATTTAATTCATCAAATTAACTGCCGTTTTTAAGAACTTGAGACAGCTCCACTTCCTAAGGAAGAAGTCCAGGTTGTGAGGAGGCTCCTGGAGTGTCAGCAGGGGGCGCTGTGGGTGAGGCTATGGGAATATCTAAAGGTGGTTGGTGGACATTGGACCAACTCTCCCCAGGGCTGTCTTACTCTTGTTTAACTCAGGTTGAATGTTGACCCCACCCCCAATATTACATTTTAGCTCATTCTTACGGACCCATGGATGACATGAAACAGGTAAAAAGGTAAAATATTACGGAAAGTGAGTTATTTACTCCCTCCAGGTAGGCACAGTTTTCCTTTCTACCATTTTTAAGCAGTCTCACCCCAAATAATCCAAGACCCGGGCCAAGAGTATAAATATGGGTCCACACCATTGAAGTCTTAAGTATGTAAAGGTGACAGATCAAGCTAAACACTGTGAGATAAAGTATGTTCTATCCTCTTACGTTGGCAAAGATACCTTCCGTATCCCTGCGAGGCCAGGTCTGCGTTTCTAATTCCTGACTAGTTGGGAGTTCTGCACCGACCAGTGACAGGGTCCGGACTCTGGTCCCCTCCCTCCCACATCCGGCTCTGTCCTGCACAAGGAAGGGTCTCACTCACGCACAAAGGTGTGTGCACCTGAGCACGCACAGCCAAGCTCTGCCCACAGTCCCAAACACCCCCCACACACCCATGTGTACCCATGGCTGTGAGATCTGCTCTCAGGAGATAATACATGGGAATGGGCCTTCACGAGCACTCGGAGCTCTTTGGGCAAGAACTTCTAGGGAACCCGGAGGATGGTGCTCACTCTGGACAGGCTCATGGCTTTGGCCCTGGCGGGTCTCACCCTGTGAGAAGGGGTGTAGCTAGGGGGCAAGGGGGCGGGCAGAGCTAGGCAGGTCTCGGCCAGCACCAAAGGAGTATTTGGAATTGAGAATAAAGCCCCTGTGAAAATCACACTAGAAAAAGCTGCAGTCTTTGCAGCTACCCCCAGCCTCTGGGGGAAAGAAAAGAAGAAGAAAAAGGATATTTCTTATTTGAATGTAACTACTTCTGAAAGCCTCCGGTCAACTTTCCTCCCTGTTCTGCGAGGCGAGATGATTTCCCCTTTGGCACTGAAAGGGAAACTAGATCAGTTGTGTGAAAAACTAAAAATGATACATTTTCTCAACTTCAAACTTGTCCCAAGGCTTTCTCCCACACTGTGTTAAATAATAGAAGTCTTTTTTAATTGAATTTCTTTGTGTGTAGCATATGCTGGGCGACATTATGCCAGCATCTCGCTCTAAGCAGCAACCCGTTCTTCATAAAAGCATTAAGACCCGGAGCGGCGTTCTGCATGTAGGGAAGGAACACAGGCCGGCAGCAGCTTGAATCCACATAAAATCAGCGCCTCTGAAATGTAATTGTGAAAACACGTTGCGACAAACTGGGAAGTGGGGGAGATACTTAGATTATAGAATGAAACCGAAAAAAGAAGAAGAGAGGAAGGGAGGAGGAGGGACAGTACCGTGGCACAGTTGCCTGCAGAATCAAAGCTATAACGTGTCCTAGCGTTCTGTCTGCAGGCTCATCTCTATATTCATTTCACCTCGAAAGCCACCCCCCTTTAGAGGGGGGTTACAAGTGGACGTGCTGTGGCCCGAGGCAATACCTGTAACACATGATTGTGCTCTCCACCCCTTCAAGGATCCTGGAGCTTCAGCAGAATGGCGACATGGACATCCTGAAGCACAAGTGGTGGCCAAAGAACGGCCAGTGTGACCTGTACTCCTCAGTGGACACAAAGCAGAAAGGAGGTGCCCTGGACATAAAGAGCTTCGCAGGGGTTTTCTGCATCCTGGCTGCTGGGATTGTCCTCTCCTGCTTGATAGCCATGCTGGAGACGTGGTGGAACAAGAGGAAAGGCTCCAGGGTCCCATCCAAAGAGGTACTTGACTGGGAGCTTGGGCAGTGAGCTGGGCCAAGGAGCAGGCTGTGTCTGTGGGGAGGATGATGGCGAGGAAGGGGTTGGGGGGAGGGTCCTTGTTGCTTCTTGTCTTGAAAAGTGGAAATAAATTTGTGAAGCCAAAAAATTGGTAAGGCCAATATCAGTTTCCATTTTAAGACATCCCAGACCGATGAAGAGGAGACTATCTAGTATCTGAAAGGCTGACAATGTTACGTGCCTTAGCGGGCTTTGAAATTCTCCCAAATCTCTGGATAGAATTTAAGTCAATGATTTGTTAAAGGCTGAGATTGCCTTGGCCAGTTCGCAAAGATGCTTATCTTTTCATTGCCATGACTTGCTTAACTTATACCTAAATTACTTGGTGTCTCTAAGATTCGGCCTAAGAAATCCAATATGACAGTAAAATAATTAGAATTTTCTCTTTACCACCAGTGACTGCTGCCCTCTCTCTGTGTGTAGACCTAAGAGAAGCGGTTATGTTTTTAGCTCTGATGACCCTAAGTTTAACAAATCCACATCATGGAATCATCTAAAACTCAATATTTCTCCCTTACTCTTGAGTTAGCTCAACTCCAAGTCCATATTAAAATTTTTCCAGAGATCTGAGAGAATACTCACAGAATTACACATATTTATCTTAAAGTGGCATATGTGCCCTGTTTTCATAAAAAAAAATTATGAGATTTATAACTATCTTATTTCCACTGAACCAAAAATGTGAAAATGTTTAAAATAATAAAATCATATTCACTAAAGCTTCACAAATTGAAATGAAAACAACCTAAATTTGCTGAGTGATCTGACTTGCTGGATAGCGTCAAGGGAGAGTTTAAACTTTCTATAACTAGGCCTTGGCTAACTGAGGCCTAGAGCAAGTCCTGACAGGATCTGCTTTAATGCACAAATAAAAATGGCTTCTCGCTTGCATACGAATTTTTGCATGTTAATGCAGCCTTTCAAACATATCGTTTTCTAGTCTAAGAATTCCTTCCTACCACTTTATATGCAAAATTGATCAGCACCATTTATAAGGAAAAGCCTGGCTTAGCAAAGATAAATCTTCGCTTCCTACTTGTCTGAAGGATCATACATTCTGCATTAGTGAAGGGTGAACTAAAAACGAATCAGGTTTTACTGATTTGTATTTTCTTTGTGGAATAAGCTTCTGGTATCTCTACTGACATTGATTCAATGCAAAAGACCACATTAATGCAACATTAGAGCTGAGACTTCATATTCTCAAAAATCTGGAAATTAAGGACTCCCCAAGCTCCTTATATGTTGAATTACTATATATGATATTAAATTTTTGCACTATTATATCTGTTGATGGATGACTACATTATAGTTGCTGTGGGAACCATAAAATTATCTTTCAACCCTCTAAAGTCTCAGTGATAACACTGCATTAATGGATATTTTTATTGGATTTCGAAATGAGAAAGGAGAAGGAAAACACTGATGCACTCAAAATATTTTTCACTTAGGAGCACTATAATAGCACAATAAAAAAAAAAAATACATACTCCATTCTAACTCATGACAGCTAATCCAGATCTTATGAACAAATATTTTATTTTATGATTAATAGATATTTTTAAATCCTTGCAAATTTGATTTCTTGAACCTGGCTATAAATAAGATTGATATAAAGAACAATTTTATTTCCTGCCAGTTTTATTTTTTAAATATTGGGCTTTAACGCTCCCATTTAGTGAAAATCTTAAGGGATTTATGAATTGATTTAAGCTCCAGAAATCTGAGGTTTTACTTTCTTTTCCTTTATTAAGCAACTTTTTACTGAGACTCCATTATCATAGCTCAAAGCATCTTTGATTTAGAGAGCATGTAGCATATACCAGAACCTAAACTAAAACTGCTACTCACATGTGAGGACTTGAAAAGATCTCTAAAAGTCCCGCTGACCTCACAAAATTGCCTCAGGTACTAGGTAGCTTGAGTGTGAAGTCCCTCAGTTAGAAAGTGATTTTTTGTGTTAAATGTTACTCTCTCCAAACAATCTTATATATCTTTAGCCTGAGGAGAAATAACACTGTAATAGTCACTAGCACTCTAGTGTGAACTAGCATATCAGCATATTGTACCACTTATCTCTAAGAATGGAAAGTTAGAGTTAGGAGTGAGTAGTGGAAAGGAACAAATATCTCACTTGGAATAAAATACCCTGAAATAAGACACCATGGGTAAAGAAGAGGTGGGGGGAGAGGGGGGAATAAGTTGCCAAAACCATACTTTTTATTTGTACAATTTTGCCTGGATCTGTCGCTGCTCTAATAGAAAGCAATCACCCATCTACCGCTTCCATATTTTGTAGTTGCATGTGGCATATGCTTATTTTAGAACTTCAACTGCAAGAAAAATATTTATTATAGATAACCTTATCTCAGTATCTTATTGGTACCCCCAGAACCTGGGACAGTGCCTGGCTCATATTAGGTGCTCAATAAATACTTGTTAAATGAATAAACCCCAAAGTTCAGTTCATTACATATCATGTTTGCTGAACTACTTTTTTTTAACCATGGGAGCTAGTACTGATGAGAACCTTATCTTCTTTTTCTTCATCTCCAGGATGACAAGGAAATTGACCTGGAGCACCTCCATAGACGTGTAAATAGCTTGTGCACAGATGACGACAGCCCCCATAAACAGTTTTCCACCTCGTCAATTGACTTGACCCCTCTGGACATTGACACTTTGCCAACACGACAAGCACTGGAGCAAATCAGTGATTTCAGGAACACTCATATTACCACAACCACCTTTATCCCAGAGCAGATCCAGACTCTTAGCCGCACACTGTCAGCTAAAGCTGCCTCTGGTTTCGCTTTTGGCAATGTGCCTGAGCACCGAACTGGCCCTTTTAGGCACAGGGCACCTAATGGGGGCTTTTTCAGGAGTCCTATAAAAACAATGTCATCTATTCCTTATCAACCAACTCCTACCCTGGGGCTCAATCTGGGTAGCGATCCAGACCGAGGCACCTCCATATGAGCATCAAACAAAAATCTCTTCACTGTTTCTTTTGTAGGACTCCCTTTGCAAGGAGCAACTGTAATGTTGTGGGACTAACATGGATGTAACATTTTTCTTTTTAATCAGGATTATTAGTAACAATTCTAGCTCTCCCTCCTCCCTCTTCTATTTCTGTCTCTCTCTCTCTCTCTTTTTCCCTCTCTTCTGATACATCTCCTTCTGCTATTATTCATTACTCTATTTGTTCCCCCAGAATATAGTGTACTAGGATCCAATTAGTCCGCTTTTCATATACTGTACTTCAAGTATAGGAAATGTGCACTGGGAATACTAAACGTATATATGCAGGATTAATTTTACATAAAGGCCTCTTACGTAACATTTCTCTATTTTTTGAAGATATAATTGCAATAACTTCAGTCTTTTACATTCTTCTGCTGCATCCATACAATGCTCCACTGCTGTTCAGTGTCCTTTAACTGTGGACCAAAGGCAACCCCTGCAGTGTCTATAAAATACTTCAAAGACCATTCAGGCCACATAATATGAGAATGCAATTTTGTAGGATTACAAAAAAAGCCATTAATATGCCAGTCAAGACTACAGTTAAAATTACTCTTGCACTGCAACAGTGCATATGACCTTTATGTGATTGTACAGTATTAAAAGTTTTTTCTTATGTACAGTAAACTTTATCATATGGCAGAAGCCTCTATTGTGTTAAATAAATTAGTATCTCATACATATACATATATATGCACCTATATAATGTGTATATATATTGAAAGGCGGCCATTGCTATTGCAATTCATTTAATAAAGCTTTAGTTTTAAAAAAAAAAAGTATTGTATACAGGAACTATGTATAGTGCAGGGGGTCTTTTCAGTTAGAAAAGGCAGGTTGCTTTAATGTTATTCTGATTCGCATTGTTTGCCAACAGAGAATATTTTATACTTTTGTTATTAAAACATCCAGAGCGATTTACTATTTGTTCCTAGATGTAACTCATTTGAATAGGTTTTGCATTTGTTACTCAGCAGTGCATAAAGCTAACCTTGGTAATAATTTTACTTTTAATTCATTATCTAAATGGGGAAAGCGATTAGCCGAACCACATCCGCAACAGCACATAGAGCTCTATGAGAGTTTAAACATAGATCATTGAAGGTTGATAAAGTCTCTTCCAAAGCAGTAAGCCAATTAACACAACTGTAGTTGGGGAGAGGTGGGAGCCCTGAAGAAATATTGATGTGGCCTTAATTACCGTCATACGTTATCTTAAAAAAGAAAATATAATAACCATACTGGGCTCTCTACTAAACCCCCTTTTTTATTTGGTTCTATTTGGAGGAGTTACGTATTTTCTACATTAGTGCCAAGTGTCTAGAAGGATGACAGCAAAAACAGTGCCTCTTTGTGCACAACCCTTTTAAAGCAGCATTCTTACCTGTTAGAGATGTAAAATGAACTTTGTTTGTAATCCTTAAATTAAAACGTGATAAGTAGGAAGCGAGAACTTATCCTGTGTTCTTAGCAGCCATACACTTATTTTACTCTAATTCATTCTGTGGCTAGGATTGATGTAGGAACCAACGTATGTGATTTGCTTTAGAAGAAATTAAAAAGTATATTCTTAAGGTATATTATATTTTGATGCTAATTCTGTTCTGGGGAGCATCTTGTACTGTCACTGTTTTTGTACTAAATCTTCAAATATTGTCTACTGTGTAAGGCAGAAAAATTTCTTATCATGCAAAAACCATTTTGTTTCCAGGGTAACAAGTACTTAAGTGCATGCACAACTTGTTTTCCCTTGTAACACTCATGATCTCATCCACGACTCTGATTTTAAAACTAAAAAAAAAAAAAAAAAAAAAAAAATCTTTACAAAAAGCTATATAGGGACCTACCAGATGTTTCAGTGATTTTAGCTATCAAACTGTTAACCATGTACAATATTTAAAATAGGCCTATTTTGATGTATTGCCTATTATACAAATACACAAAACACTTTTTGGAGGCCTCAGTTATGAGTGGCAGAGCTTTCTGTGTATAATTTGTCTAAATAATTTGTCTAATAAAAATGTTTTCTAAACTTGCTCTCATACCATTGAAGTCTTAACTACAAAATTTGAAAATGCTTACTTCCTCACCTATTGAACTGAATTTTTCTAAAAATTTATCTTGAGTTCATTAATGCATAAAACACATTAAGTTTTGATAGCCGAACTTTGCCGAAATGTGTGGCCCTCTAAAAACAATGCTAAGTGATGTCCTAAACCAACGAAATACTGCTTTTCTGCTATTCGAGACTATTTGAACACACAATATATTTGCTTTTCTTTATGGATGTCTCTGTGAGCACTTTTTGGGGACAGATTTATCCTGTTGTGTGTAAACAGTGCAGTCACTATAATAGCAAAAAGAAAATCAAAGGTAATTATTATACTTAGAATTTATTTATTAATAATTGTTTTGCTGTTAGAGAAAAATTCATCATGCTGAACCTATTAATTTGAAATTTAATTGTCTCCAAATTATTTCTAATACATTATTGCATTTGAACAATAATTCATCTTGCATTTAAATTGCTCAATGGTTTTCTATCTGGAAATATATTCAATTTAGATTAAAATTTCTGCTATTCTAAAATCCCATTGAAAATGAAGTTTTCAAATGTTGGAACCATAGACATCTAGAGGAACTGTAGACATCTAGACCATCTTGCCTCGTTTCACAAATAAGGGAAATAAGATGCCAGGAAGATGGGACTGGCCCACAAGTTTGTCAATCTGAGGCTTAAAACTGGGTCTTTTGTTTGTTTGTTTAACTCTGCCAAGTCCCATTTGGTCACATTCACTGGTCCTCGTGGATTGGAAAGGTAGGGATGGCTCAGGTACATGGCTCCACCCACTCCTCTGGCCCAGCCGAGGCTGTCAGTCTCTAGGAACCTTCCTTCCTGTCTGGGTCCACATGGAGCATCCCATTCACCCACTCCCCTTAAAGATGGGAAAGTGAACACCTTGGGCTACTTTCCCAAGGTCATGGCTCCTGGCAGCCATCAGTCCAGGTCCTGCTTCTGTCTACTGCTACTTCCTTTAACCATTGTCTGTCCTGGTTCGCACCACTTACACCAACCAGGCTATTTCAAAACAAGACAAATACCTTATATCCATGTGCTTCTATTCTTCTCATATAGTCAATGTATTCCTTTGGTGAATCATTAAGAGTTGTCGCTTTTAATCACTCAGAACTTATGCACAGGTTTTGATTTAATCATATATTAGAAAATTGTAAGACCTCCTTTCCTCCTCATACATATCAAACTACAGGCAATTTGTCATTTTCTTAATTATGTTATTTTCCATTTCCTTTAGTTTGGGATTGGTTGTGAACTGAATAAATACTTTCAAAAATAGACTCTACTGAATGGTACTTTGCTTCATCAATTAAAAATAAAAATAAAAAGATGAGAAGACCCATTTACCCCTACAAAATGCTTTCTAAGCCATACAATTGGATAACAATCTATCAGTACTTTATAATCAGAATTTTTGGAATAGTGGTACACATTCTGTATTATAAGCATAGTAAATAAAGCAGAACTAAGAACTTCTGTGCCGGTAAACATGGGGTTTATCCTTAAATATACATTTCATGGTAATTGACAAAATACAATGGGCTCACTAAAAATTGGCTTTCTTCTGCAGTGTTTATATTTCTAAAAATTGATTATAGTCTTGATCCTGTGATCAAATATTAATAAATGGCTAGCAATTGTGGGCATAGTTATTATTTCAACAAAATTTAGTAGATACCCATCCCCCATGAGATAGCATAAATGAGCTCCCTTGGGTGGAAAAGACTTACTGACATTGATAAATCAGGAAATAAAGCTATTTAGATTTGATAGATTTAATTCAGTCCTCTTAGTGTTACCAAAAGACTATTATGTGAAAACCACTATGCTAAGCAGTTGCACATGGCATAAATGAAGATACATGTTTCAGGATGGGTCTGGATGTGTTCTACTGTTGTCGGAGAATTGTACAGGTGGACTGTCTCCATTGCTAGTGGGGTTCTTATGACATCTTGAGGAAAAGAATTTTCTAAGGCTCACACAGGAGTATGAGTGATTTTTATTTGCTTCGACTTATCTCCCTCAGTTCCCAAAGTCCCATTTCCCCTACACTAGTCCTGACAAAATGTGCAGCTGGGGATTCAGCAGAGCTAAAAACAAAGCTAGTATCCACAATGTCGGTTCCATAATGAAGCTGAATCCGCTACAGCATCAGGCTAATTCCAGTCCATCGGTCCACTGTGTGCCATGCAGGTGAAAGCCCTGAAAGCCAGGAGTCAGGTGTGAGCAGCAAGAGAACAGGGCTTCTTTGTATTTCAGATTCCGCACCCTTGCAGTGGCCAAGCCTATTCTGGCCAGTGCCCTGTTCTCAGGTATGACTGACAGGCCAACGCCCTCTCTACGTCATTCAGACCTTAGTGGGCATGCGTTTATTCTTTTCTTGTTCAGTCCCTTTCCCCAGGATCTGGGGGGGACAGACCTGGGGAGTGTTGATCTGCAGCTTTCTGGCAAAGCTGTACAAATGACATGCCTGTATTATCTGGCCTTCCCTTTGCTCCTCTCCTGTTAATTAATTAATAACCAGGCGGTTACATCAGAATCACTACCGCCCATTTCTTTCCTTGCCCCATATCACCATGCAAGATATAGATGCCATCTTACAGACTTTCTGAGGTGGCAGAATGAGTCACCCAAACCAGTGCAGTCATCTTTGTGCCCAGACCATCCAACCAACTGCTGCAATCCATTCTTGTTCTCCAGGGCTAATTGGGTCTGTCCTCTTAGATTCAGATGATCTCCACAAAGAAGACAGAGATTTCCCAAGATGCCTGACCAGGAGGCCAAATTTTCAGAAATGTGAAAATTACCACAAGCCAGAGGCAAACTACTATCTGGCCCTTCTTCCTTATCAATACCTGCACTGCATACCATTCAGAGACTGACTCCTACCCTTGGGTGTCCAGTCAGAAGACACAGATAACAACTCATTTTCTATCCCTGTGGGCTAGTTCTGGTAGGGTTCTGCAGTGTTTTTGCTTCAAAGGGACCAAACTCAGCCAATTTTGTTCAGGCTACTTTTGAACTCTCATAAACTTTTACTTATATTGCAGCAAAGACTCCTCACCACCTTTCCTCTCATCTCAGCCATAGGTTACACTGCGACCAATGAGCCTGATGCAGGGGTGGGCAAACTTTTTGACTCGAGGGCCACAATGGGTTCTTAAACTGGACCAGAGGGCCGGAACAAAAGCATGGATGGAGTGTTTGTGTGAACTAATATAAATTCAAAGTAAACATCATTACATAAAAGGGTACGGTCTTTTTTTTTTTTAGTTTTTTCATTTCAAACGGGCCGGATCCGGCCCGCGGGCCGTAGTTTGCCTACGACTGGGCCCTGATGCATGTATAGTGTTCTCCTGACTGCCCACCATAACAACAGCCTCTGCCCCACACACACTTCCAGAAAAATAGAAACTTCATGGTTTTGCTCCATTTTATAGAGTTGCACAGAGGCATACCAGGTACAACAGTTGCAGCAACAAATGATCCAGCCTGCTCTGAAGACAGAAACACACTGAAGGAGCGGTCTCTCACCTGCATTTTCCAAATTCCTACATTTTCAATCGTTTTTTGTTTGTTTTGATTCCATGTAATGTTAGTAAGTAACAAAGAAAAAATGTTCAACTTTGAGAAATACTTTTTGTTATCCGAAAGCTCTCCCCTGATCTGTTATTGCATACCATTTAGAACCGAGGGCCGCCTTTTGACTTATTTTGCACACTTCCTAGAATTTCTTCACACCGCAATCTGGACACATTGCCCATCCTCTGCTGGAAATAAACGTGGCCCAGCTGACCTTTGTGAGGAGTGAGGGCCTGGTTCCTTCTGGAGAAACCCTGTGGCTCCCACTGCAGGATTAGCAGCGTATTTCAAAAGAAACTCTCTGTGATGTAATAGAAAATGCACAGAAGTTTCAGGGCAACATTAATCCTCATTAATTAAAAACTAATTAAGCTTTTATAACAGCTGCTTTAGAAGGAGGAACATATGTCACAAAATCAAAGAATGACACAACATCAGAACCAAAGAAAGGATGAAAAGCACTGTTTTAATAAATATTTTGCCTGCCGCAAGATTTGAAATATGAGAAGGCACACTTTAGTTTTTAAAGTTGTTATGTTTTATTTTTAAATTGGTGTTACTGAAATTTTTTAGAAACTAAGTGCCCTACATCTGTGGCTGTTTTTAATTTTAAAAATTTGACATCAATAAACAAATCATAGCTTACTTATTCACTATGCAGAAGATTCATTATAGGGGGATCTTTAAGAATTAGTTTTTCACCCTACCCGGTTTATGTCTGTGGATAGAGAAACTGAAGGGTCCGAGGTTCGATTCTAGTCAAGGGCACATGCCCAAGTTGTGGGCCCGATTCCCAGTAGAAGGAGTACAGGAGGCAGCTGATCAATGATTCTCTCTCATCATTGATGTTCCTCTCCCTCTCTCCCTCTCCCATCCTCTCTGAGATCAATAAAAATATATTTTTTAAAAAGAATTAGTTCTTCTAATATAATAAAATAAGATTCAATTTGCAAAAATTTAAATTCTATAAAAATTTTCAGGATCACAGCCATTTCCTGGAGCAAGGATACCTATATTTATTTCACACTAGATAAATAAGGAGTTGATAGTTAATATTAAATGATCTCCAGAATTACATTAAAGTTGACTTTCAAGTTAATTTTAGCCCTCTATTAATATTTGTTTTTGAAAT